AGGATCGTGGGGAAGTACCAGTTCCAGCACACCGTGAGCAAGCCAAACGTCAAGACGATACGGACCGTCATCGCGATCGAGTACATGGCGTAGTTCTTCATGCGCAAGAAGATCTCACGCGACATGCGGATGGCCGTGATGATGACCGAGAGACCGGGCGACACGAGCACAATGTCGGCAGCAGCACGGGCAGCGTCGGTGGCATCATCGACGGCAATACCAATGTTGGCCTGTGCGAGGGCGGGGGCGTCGTTGACACCGTCACCCGTCATGCCGACAATCTTGTCGAGCGACTGGAGCTGGCGCACAATCTCAAACTTGTGTTCGGGGAAGACCTGGGCAAAGCCGTCCGTCTCGTACACCATCTGCGCGAGGTTCACACCCGGCGGCGGCGCCTGGTTGAAGAACGACGTGTCCAAAATGTTGGTGGGCATACCGAGCTGGCGGCACGTCTCGATGGCAATGACGCGGTGATCACCCGTGACCATCTTGACAGCGACACCCATCTCGATGGCACGCTTGACCGTGTCGGCGGTATCGTGTCGCGGCGGGTCAAAGAGCGGGAGGATACCGACAAGCTTCCACGTGGCTTCCTCCATCGGGACATCGCCCTCCGAGTACGAGACACCGAGACCACGGTAGCCGCGCGAGGCGTACTCGTTGATGCGGCCCTCGACTTCAGCGCGAAGCGACTCGGCGTTGTCGTCCATGTCCAAGCAGATCTGCGGCGCACCCTTGCAGGCACGGAAGATCTTGCCCGTCGCATTGTCCTTGACCTTGGCGATCGTGCGCTTGGTCGTCGGGTCAAAAGGCGTGTAGTGGAGGAGCGTGTACTTCTGCCACATCGTGTCGTTACCGGGGTACGTGTTGTGGCACACGACGTCGATGGCCTCGTTGTTCTCGATACGAGCCGAGAGAGCACCGAAGAGGAGGATATCATCCGTCGAGTAGCCGTTGTACGGGATCAAGTTGTCGAGGTCGACCGAGAGCTTGTTGAGGGTGAGCGTGCCCGTCTTGTCCGAGCAGAGCACTTCCATCGACGCCATCTCTTCGATCGAGGTGAGGCGCGTGACGATGGCGTTCTCCTTGGCGAGGGCTGATGACCCGATGGCGAGCGTGACCGATAAGACCGTGGGCATGGCCACCGGGATACCGCCGACGATCAAGACGAGGATGTTGGCGACGCCGAGGCAGCCGTCGGTAATGATCAAGCACGGGTTCTCGTCCTTGCGGGCGCCCATTTGCACGACGAGTTCGATGATGCACCAGAGGATGATCGAGACCATGCAAAAGTTGCCGACCGTCGTGAGCACTTCCTGGAGGCGGCCCTGCGACTCGACGCCGGCAATTTGTTCGGCGGCGCGGCCGAGGAACGTGTGGATACCCGTGCTCGTGACGACAGCTTCGATTTCACCTTGCTTGCAGATCGAGCCCGAGTAGCCTTCATCACCCTCGTTCTTGGTGACCGGCAGCGACTCGCCCGTGAGCGACGACTGGTCGATCTTGACGGCATCACCCTCAAGGAACTTGACATCGGCCGGAAGCACGTCACCGAGACGAATGCGGATGACATCACCGGGCACGAGCTGGTCAGCCGGAAGGTTGATCATGGCACCGTCGCGGAAGACCTTGCACTCGGGCGCGAGTTGGCCCATGAGCGCAGCGACGGCGTCGCCAGCCTGCATCTCCTCAAAGTAGCCGATGCACGCGTTCAGGAGCAGAAGCGCGAGAATGAGGCCGAAATCCGGGTAGTCGAGCAAGACGATCGACAAGATGGCGGCGACCTCCATGGCCCACGAGAGCGGGTTCCACATGAAGCCGAGGAAGACCATGAGGCGGTTGACCTCGTTCTTGGGCAAGGCGTTGGGGCCGTGCTCGATGAGGCGCTTCTGAGCCTCGTCGGACGAGAGACCCTCGCGGGTCGCCTTGAGCTTGTCAAGCGCGGCGTTGAGCGGGATGGCACCCCACTCGACCTGACCCGCCTCGTTGACGTAGTTCTTGGCGTCGTTGGGCGTCGTCATCGGTTGATACCCAGCCATCTTGATGGTACGATTTGCTTATTGATCAACGGGAACGAACGGCGCGGGGCGGTTGTTGGACGTTGGCCAGCAAAATGTAAAATGGCCGACCGAGAGGCCGAGCAAGCGCCTTGGCCGTGACCAACGCGGCTACCATCTGTGTAGAGGATCCAGCCCATGTGTAGCACCATCGTCACTCGCTTACTGGTGGCCAGCATCCGCGGTGTCGCACCATGCCGTAGCCCGCAGTTACATGGCCGCGATCGCCAGGCAGACCATGGTTTGATTGGCTTAGAAGATGGCCTTTCCGAAACAAACGCACTTGATTGGCTACAATGTGGATTTTCGCAGGCGATCGTCTCGTACTGTAGATGCTGTGGACTCCAGGTGGCACATACTCAAAGGCAAAGAGCACATGTCGCCGCGCCCGCCGGCCACTGCACGTGGCGCCACGGGAGCGTCCGACGGCCATCGATTGGTGCAAACGCGCCAGGATACCCAATTTCGGCCAATCAAAGCCGACGTGGAAACAGAGTGCTGTCCCACATTGAACCAGACCCGTGGCCAGAATTGTCACGAGAGCGCCGCTTGGCGCCCCGGACTGGGCTCCTTTGTCGACTTGGGACAGCCTACGAATCGAACCTCGGCGCCGTCTCCTTGTCCTCTTGGCTACCTTTTGCCTCCTTGATGCGTGGCGTCAGCGCCACAGTGTAGCCTTCGAATGCGTCTGCATAGAGACGCTACTCCTGATTTCTGAGCAGGAGCCGCGACACAGTGGCGAAAGCACGACGACGACGATGCAACCGCGACAAGGCAGCTCCAGCGGTGTCGCCGGTATACATTTTCATTGAGAGCATCGCTAGCTACTCGCACTGTGGCAGCATTGCGCGTGTGGATTGCAACTCTTGGATCTGGGCGCCGATCCTCCTCGAGTTCAGCGCGGCAGTTTGTGAGGCGCTAATCGTCAGCACTGGCGCGACTGGGTTCGAGACACTGGCAACGCGAGCGACGTGGATGCCGCGACAGGGTAGAAGGGGCATTTCTTGAGGATGTGTTTTTGTCCAAGATCACGGCGGTGCTTCTCTAGGAGCCATATTCGTGTCGGCGTTTGCAAGGCGTCGACGATTCCGAGTCCGAAGCGTAAGCCAACAGCTTGCGGGTGCAGCTTGAAGCGCCGCCCACATGCAGAGGCTGGTCACCCGTTTGGTCGCATGCCCCAATGCCAGCCTGGGGACAAGAACGATGGGCACTCACACGTGGCCGTGCATTTGTGGCTGATATCGGATACCACGAATCGAATGGCGGCCGCGGATTGTTGAAGTTGGTGCGATCTTCCGGTACTGGCTCGTCCGTGGCGGAGGTGTGATGGTCAGCACATGCGCTGTGTATATACCTCTGTGCGTCTGGCCATCGAACCGCCGTGCCTGCCAACAAGGCCAGTATAGCGAGAGTGCGAGACGACTCGCAGTCGACGTAGCGGCAGGATGCGGCCGTCGGACGATGTGGCGCGCTGCATTACACACAGCCACGACGACAAATGGACTTGAGAGCATGGCCTTTCTGGTCGTGCTTGAACGCGTGGCAGCAACGACGCATGCGGGCGCGGGACCGGCGCCGAGCACACGGCAGAGCACACGGCGGACGTGTCGAGGTGTGAATATGCATGGAGCGAGGTGATGCACCAACCCTGGACGTCATTCACTCGTCGTCGTCAGTGTCGACTAAGGCGTATTGGGCGTTTGGACGGCGCCATCGATGCTGCCTCGTGCATGACCTACGGTACCGGTACTATGGTAGCCTCATACGAGTTGGCAGCGTAAGACAAAGCGCGTCGAGCTGCTGGGCAGGCCAGCGATGCATCAGGTACTCGTCCATACCTGAGTCGGATGCGGGTCCTTCAATGATGTCTCCACGAGCAGCAAAGGACACGACCCGCCCCTGATATCGTCAACGACCTTGTCCGTGGGCCTAGAGCGATAGCGTGGTAGTGCAATCCGTTGTCCTTGCCGTCAAGTGTACCTACATCTTCTGCCCGTGGCGAGTGGTGCTCAGTAATGAGGGCACGTTAAATGGCCTTCGCTCACACGAGGTGCCACGTCGTCGCAGTACCAGACGTCGGGCGGTGCGAAGAGCACCCGGTCGCACGCTTGTGCAACAGAAGACTCTCGTCGACGCCTGTGCTTCGAACCTCGGCACTCGCAGAGGCTCAACCACTGCTGTATATGTTGACGCCAGACACCGCTTAGAAGGTCCGAGAGGTAGTCATGCCGCGTACAGGCGTCGAGGATCGAGGATCGAGGGCCGAGGAGGATCAAAGCACAATCGAAACGTGTACTAACATGCTTCCAGCAGCGGCTAGCCCATAGAGCAAGAGGAGCCGTTCTCAGCTTCAAGCGCATCAGATGACCAAGTACTTATCACGGAGCGCCTTGATTCTATCATTGGTCGACTGCTTCGGTCTACAGGGTTCGAGACGACAACGCACCAGAGGCAGCTGACCAGAGCCAGCGTCCATGAGAGTGGGGTCGCAGTTGCGATTCTTCAAGGACTATCTATGGTTTGTGTATCGTACGATTACTCGTAATTACAATAGCGTAGCATTTTCTTTCATCGTGTACAGAATGGTGTTGAGGATTGATGTCATCTTGGTGCTCTTTCATACCGCGAAGGAGCCGGCGCTTGGGCCGAGGGGAAAAATGGCGGGAAGATACCCGCCCACCGGAAACCGTATCCGGAGGACGGTGGGATCAAAGCGGAGTTATATTTGCCGATTGGGATTTCGATACAAAAACAGTGATATTTATATTCGCCTACCGTGCATGAAATGGACCAATCCTAGGCCGAGCTGGCCGTCAGAACTGAATTCGCCGCCTGCCCCACAGATGACCTACAGCCGAGGTCGCTGCGTCCGATGACGTGCTTGGAGCTCTCGACCGGAGGTCAAGAGCCGTCGGCCACGCGCACCAAACAGGCCATGAACCATCTCCATGAAGCCAGGCGACGCATGCACGGTCGCAGGCGATCTTGGCGCATGCAAGGCGACGGGCAACATCAACACTGCCGGCTGTAGCTTTGCTTGCTTTCGTTGGCATCCTACCGCTCGTCGACGCACTTCTTCGTACCAACGAGCGATAATCGACGATACGAGCATCTTGCAACGCGGTATGTTATTGGTGGTGGTGGAATGCTGCTTGCAGTCGAAAAGCTCTCTCAGCGACAACAAGTCGAGTGCGCTCTTCCTCTATACCCACGAACCCAACGCCACACGTCGACGCCATAGCGCTGCGTATGCATCGTTCCATCGCATGCATCAAGCACACTGTCTCTTCTGGCGGTGCAAGCAGTCAACACACATCGAAAATGGGAGCGTCCATACATTATCTTGGGCTTAGGCAGCATGCGAGTTGCGACTGATGAGAGCTGAGCAAGAGACACTACGCGTCGACGAGGGACGTGAGCGTCGTCACAAAGGACGCCAGCCACGCTTCCGCGTCGGCCATCGAGAGCCACGCGGTGCGGCTCGTGAGCGTCACGTGCAAGTCCTTGCACGTGCTAAACGCAAAGAAGGGCACCATCGCGCCATAGTAGAAGCGCGACGCGCGCACGCCGAGGCCACGCGGGTACGACGACGCAAAGTACGGGGTGGCACCGAGGTTGGACGTCACAAAGCTGGCGGCCATGAGGTCGCCCGTCGCAATCTCGACGGCGGGCACGCGACGAATCGCCTCGAGATGCCGGTTGATAAAGAACGACCGACCGACCGCGCGCTTGAGCATCCGCGGCGACAGGATCCACTTGGCGTCGTGGGCCATGGCCCAGAGCGTCGTCGGTGCCAGCAGCGCGTCGGCAGTGTAGTCGGCAGCGTATAACGTCGCCAAGTCCGAGTCAGCCAAGTAGCCGCCGAGGCCCGCGGTCGGCACGTGGTGCCAGCGCAGGTTGATCATTGTCTGCGCCGTGACGCTCGGTGGCTCAAAACGCTCCATCGCGGTCGCCATGAGGACGGCGTTGAAGAGCGACGAGAGGGTCAAGCCTCGGTCACGACAAGCCGTTCGGAGACGGGCCACAATCGGCGCCGGGACTGTCGCCGAGTAGGCAAATTGCGGGTACGACTCGGGTCCGCTCAAGAGCGCGTTTGCAATCGTCTCGTTCGTGTCGGTCTTGGGCTTCCAGAGATGCCCAAACAGCTTTTGCTTGAGAACGAGGAGCGAGTACGCCGCCATGCCCGTCACTTCGTGCCACCACGTGACGTCCGACGGCAAGTCGTGCGGCTGCGGGCGCGGCGCCCACGGCGTCCGCGACGGGGCAGTTGAAGTTGACGGCTCGTCGTCCGAGACACCGGCGAGGAGCAGTGCGAGCGTCGAAAAGAGCGAGTGGCCGTCCGTAAAGGCATGTCCGACGACAAGGTACACCCGCACCAGCACCGGGGACGGGTGCGTGACCACAACGCGCACCGGCACCTCGTCCACGAGGTCAAAGTGGATCGTCAGCAAGTTGGTGAGCAGGTCGTCCGTCTCGTCGCGCAGCTCGACGGTGGCCGCGCGCAGCTGGTCGTCGGTGGCGCCGATCGTCGCTGTCTTGCCTGGCACGAGCACCTCTTGCAGCGCTGGCGTCGTCAGCAAGAGCGAGGTGAGCGACGCCTGCAGCGCCGGAACGTACGCACGGACGTCGAACGTCGAGGGGTCGAGCACGTCGAGGTCGACGACGCCGATGAGCGGCGAGTCGAGGCGGAGGTCGTGGACGCGGGCCAAGATGGCTTCGTACGTGTTGAGCAAGCGCATCGCGAATCGAAAAGTGACCTTCTCTGTGGAAAAGGTTCAAGGGGCCCTTGGGCCTGTCTGCGCATGCTGCGTTCTCCAATCGCCACGTACAACGGTCATACAAACTTCAAGTGCAGCGCGATCTTTGGTTGCGCATCGGCCCGGACTGTACACTGTACTAGTACTATCTTAGTATGGCAGGAGATGGGCAGGCAACGTCCCGAGGCTGCCACCGCCATCGCTGCTTGCGGCGCCACCATGAAGCGACCGGCGAGCAAGCGGCGAGGACGACGATGGCACTGCGATATGTCAAGCAAGGGAAGGCGACGGCGACGAGCGGTGACCGCGCTCCCAGGACTCCACGTATGCGGTAGCGCCATGTTGCCCGACGCGCCGACAGCCGCCATAGCTGCACCGCGCATGTGCCTCGACGCTCGGGCAGCGCTGCTTGTGGTAGAAGCCCATGGAGCCGACGCTTGGCATCAATGTTGCACCATGTCGCCAACTTCAAGGGTTGCAGTCGGTGGTTTCTGCAGTCGTTGATGCTGGGTAGGACAGCGATCTCTATCCGCGCTCAAGACCTCTCGGCAATGCATGCACGTCGGCTTCCTATCGTCAAGCACTGTCGACGAGCTCGCCAAGGACTCACGTGGGTTCGGTATCGACGATGGATCATGTTCTCGCTTACGATGAATCGAAATGACGGCAGCATGCGCTACAAATAATGCTTGAAGAATGATTCCTACTGCTAAGCGCTTGCTATACTAGACTAGTATGGATACTAGTATTACTAGAATCCATGGCAGTGGGAGACGATCCCGTTGGTCGGCCGAAACACGCGAAGATGCCCATGACCATAGAGTGGCTCTGGCATTGATTCTAACCGGAGCGAGCTAGGATAATCTTTATACACAGTATCTATGGTCTTATCTCGCATAAACGCGTCGATATCAGACGAACCTGGCCTTTCTCTGCGTTCGGAGAGCTCACCCTACCCCTAATCGAATTGCCGGGTGTGTGGTAATGGTAGAGGAACTGCGAGTTGAAGGGCTTGAACCCGCGGTGCGATCGCAAGGTCCTACTGTATCCGGTTAGTACCTCTATGTAGGAATTAAGTCCATCCCTTTTGCCTGGTGGGAGCGAATGATCCATCGTCGCCAGCATTGCACCTTCGACTTGCTACAAGTAGCATCCCTTTGCCCACGAGTTTTTTTGTTTATCCTCATTTGTTTAGTTTGACTCAAGCACAGCCTGGCGAGTGAGCGAAGAACTAGAACGTCCATCTCTACGTGCGCGAAGCTCAAAGTTAACGCGTACTAATAGTACAGAAGCGCGCGAATCTCCTGGTGGGAGTCGCATTAAATAATGTGTTTTTAGACATGCGCGTTCACTGGTATTGTACATAACGCCATTGTACAGCTGGGATAAAAACACGCATACTATTGGACGCCCACGCTGGCGCGAGGACTGCCAGCCACCGACCCGGAGAATGTCTGCTGCTTCATTTACCGTGTGATTGCCCTCCAGTACGACGCAGTAGTGTGTCGACCTGGTAGTTGGACTGGTACCCATTCGGCACCTGAGACGAGCGCGCGGCAAGTCGGACGGCGAATTTCGACCACTTACTACGCGCTCACACTCGCACCAACCAAGAGCACTCGGTGGTGTGATTGCCTCATTGCAAGCTCCAGGACCGTTCCGTGTACTAGAACGTGTCGAGACACGAGCTTGTGATTTGCTTCTTCGCAAATCATCGATATGGCCGTGTTCGCTGGGAAGGCGATCGAACACCCAACGTTAAGTTTGTGTTTACGCTCTCAGTTTCCATCTCAACGACGAAGACGACAACAATCATGGGCAGCGCCCCCGACCGTCCGACGATCGACGAGGCACTGCGTTTGTCGATGCCCAAGAGCCCGCGGTCCCGGTCGCTCAAGTACTACTACGAGCACCGCGACGACGTCCTCGCCAAGTTGCGTGCAAACTACGGCGACAACAAGGAACGCGAGCGCTTGCGCCAGCGGGAAAAGTACCTCCGGCGCAAGGCCCGTCAAGAGGCGACTGCCGTGGCGCCGCTGGACCTTCGTCTGCGCGTGGCGTTCCTTCTCAACGAGCCGCCGTCGCCCCATTCGACTTTGTAGGTATCGAAAAGGTCTTCGAAAGAAAACAACAACTACCACTCACGCCGGGTGACCCGTGTACTGGCTTTGCCGCTAGAGTCGAGGAGGAAGAGCGGCCGATGAACTGCAGCGCACTCAAACGACACGCTTCGCCAGCAACGTCGCGCGAGACTCTAGTACGAGGAACAAGGCCGACGTGTGGCGGCGGGCGCACCCATGTGTGCGTGTCCACGCCATGGACACGGTCGTTTCGATCGTGATGAGTGTCGCAACGCAACGTGGACCAATATGGATGGATACGTACGTCGCTGGATCGAGTCGCTGGATCGAGTGAGTCGTCTCGTCACGCAGCCTTGTATTAGTACCTACGACTCACACAAGAGCCATGTGTGCAGGGTCTTTCGAATGGTGTGAATTCTTGGTTGTGGGCAAACATATCAGTAGAGGGGATCGAACCCTCGATCTCAAGCGTGTGAAGCTTGCGTCCTAACCACTAGACGATACGGACCTTGCGAAACTCGACTTCCCTTCTTCGTCATTGACCTAGCGCTGGCTCCGTGCTCGGCTTTTCCTCTGGCACAACGGCGCTTTTTGTTCTGCCATATACTCGCTTTGTCAACTGCATGCACATGTATTTGCATGTGCACCGAGTTGGACAAGGTCCCGCACCCTGGCGACCGAAGACCAAGGTCCTGATTCTATGCTCAGTCGAACAGGAGCATATATCCTAGTTAGACTCGAACTAGGATAAACGCTCACCTCGGCCAAAACCCACACGTTAAACGCTGCGGGGCAAACCAAAAATGGCCGTGGGGCAAACTCAACATCATCGGGACAATCCTCAGCTCGCATGTGATTGGCGGATCCTCATTTTGCATAGCGATGCAGAAGCCGCCCGGCGAAATATCAATGCTGTTCAAAATGAACATCGATTAATCAGTGATTGATTAATCGATTTAACCTGCCGATTTAACCGATGTTCATGTTAGTAAAATCAGTGTCCACGTCATCATCTTGTACAACATAATCATCACGGGAGACGCGACATTTCCGCCGAGAAGACTTTGGAAACATCGATGAGGTGTGTATAAGGGATGTATTCTGAACTCGGCCTTTGATCTTCAGAGGCGCAGGCGTGTCGTCAGGCTTGTCCTTGTGGGCAGCCTCGCACCACTTACAGACGAAGTACATGAGAGACTTGTTGGTCTCTATTTGCTCGTTGGTGCAACGGAAGTGAGCGCGCACGCCAGAGCTTGGACGACCTCCACGGTGATGCATCGCTCGCTGATCCTTCTGAACCTTTCAGTCCAACCGATTTTACTGGGTTTTATCACATATTGATTTAACCTCGAAAATACCATCACTGATGAATCACTTTTCGATACG